ACGTTTCGCTGGGTGCCTGGTTGGGTGGTTGGCTTAGGTGCTTGGTTCGGTGGGAGGTGGGTAGTTGGGTGTCCCATCAATAATTCCCTGAATAATTCGCTCCGGCAACCAACACTTGGGTGTCCGATCGATGTGTGCCTTGGCGTGGGCCTGTACCTGTAGCTGCACCTGGCCCTGCATCTAGGCCTATGCCTGCCCCTGCATCCGCACCTGCACCTGCACCTGGGACTGCACCTCAGTCTGGACCTGCACCTGGCCCTGCACCGGGACCTGCGGCTGCACCTCCACCTGGATCTTCACCTGCACCTGCGCGTGCACCTGGCCTTGCATCTCGGCCTGCATCTGCACCTGCACATGGAACTGCAGCTGCGCCAAGCGAAGGCCGGGGGAGTCGGGATGGCTTGATCCTCCGGCAAACAACACTTGGGTGTCCATCGGCGTGTGCCTTGGAGTGGGCGTGCATCTGGGGCTGCACCTGGGTCTGCACCTGGGTCTGCACCTGTACATGGACGTGGACCTACATGCGGGCCTGGAAGTGGGTCTGCATGTGGGAAAACAATAGAAGTCTGCGTGTTCCTGAAATTGCATTTGGGCCTGCACCTGCGCTTGCATCTCGGTCTGCATCTGCATCTGCACCTGGACCTGCAGCTGGGCTAAGCGAAGGCCGGGGGAGTCGGGATGGCTTGCCCCTCCACAGCGGGCCCGCACCTAGGCCCATGACCTATTCGGGATAGCATGGGTGCCTGCACAGCGGGCCTGCACCTATACATGGCCCTGCATCTGTACATGGGTCAATGCTTGGACCTGGGCCGAGGCTTACAGCGGTGCCTGCACATGGGCGTGCATCAGTACCTGCACGTGGGCCTGGGCCTGGGCCTGCACCTGCACCTGGGGCTCCAAAAAGACATCGCAGTAGTGAACCTGACCGTCGTTGAAATTGAGGCAGACATAGAGGGATGTACAGGTTGAGGGATGCATGTCTGTCATCATCCCTGATGTCTAACATGGTCTGTCGTGGTGTGTGGGTGTGTCTTCGGTCACTGCCGTGGCCGAGCACTAACTATTGCGTCTCCTGTTGACAAGCCGGGGTGTAATGTCTCTCCCCAAGCTGTCGTCATTGCGCCGTGTATGAGGCAACTCAGGTTGACTCCCCATGTCAGTGACGTTGCTAGCACAACCTCTCTATTGACCAGAACAAACCATCCCTTGCCAACACGTGACCACTTTTTCCCATTGTTGCATGATTTCATTATGCTGGTCACTGCGGCATACTGTAGTGCACCATCTGGTGTTGCCCCCTTCATCACAACACACAACACTTTGTGCGGATCGGGAAAAGCACGTTCCAACCTCATAATTGCCCACCCTTTTGTCACTTGTCCACCCGCACCCTTCAAATCAAATCATAGTATACATCATGTTCCTCGTCTTCCTCGTCACTGCTGACATCGCTGCCGCTCATTTCCACGTCAGAAGATGATGCCCCCTCATCCTCTTCTTCATCTTCTTCTTCTGCACTGTCTGTGTACTCTGCACAACAACTTGGCAAATCGGCCTCTTCAAATCCACGATCACACTGTTCTTTCTCCATTGTGAAAGCATTGAAGATATCGCAACACACTAGCTGCTCTCTCCTTGCTGTCTGCATGAGACGCACATCGACTGCCATACTCGTTATTGATTCTTGTGCTGCTGATGTTTGTCCGTTGTCTGGAATGATTGCTAAATTTGTTCCCGTGGTCATCACCTTCCACCCTTCTTCTCTTTCTCTTTGTCTCTCAACATCGCAGCTTGCAAGACCGAGCCGCTCCAAAGCAGCTGATAGCAACTCCCCCCACAACGGTCTGCCAGATATGATGTTGTCTTATGTTATTGCTGACACAAATTTTATCAAATCTTGACCCTGCAGTGCAAACTCTGTCACTTTGTGTAACGCCTCATGGATGACGTTCCTGTCGTCGTCACTCTTTTTCATGAAGTCTACAAGTTGATCCAGCAGAATATATTCCACACCATCTGCGACAATGACAGGAACATCTTGAAAGTTTTGTGGTGGTGTTTGCGTAATGTCCTTCATTCTGGACAACACCAATATTTCTGCAGCACCACTCTTAAACTCCTCCTTCGACCCATCAACCAGCATTCTCCCATTCCGTGCGACAGTGTCCAGCAACTTGCCCTAGTTCACAGGTGTATATGTCCCCACTGTCTGCTGCATTGTCATGTCCACGTCTCCTTCTTCGCATATCCCTTCGCTACAGATCCACTGGACCACTCCTTTTCGACTGTATGCACTGTCTTCCATATCGCTGTCCATACGTACATGTGGTGACTCTCTGAAGCGTTGCAAAAGTGTTCGTGCTTTGACACAACCCTCGCCGTTTGCCATGATTGTAGATCTCATATTCACAACGACTATGAAGTACCTCGGCACCCTGTCCTGAAGCAAAGACAACTCGCTGTCACCGTTGTAGTGGACGCCCTCCTTTGCATACTTCATTACCTCTGCAAGAGCAGCCTCCACCTGTGCTACTGACATCGACGTGATGCGTACGGTTTGTCTTTCGTCCTCTTCTCTCTGCCAGTGGAAACACACAATGACGTCATCGACATGTGTGTGTGTGTATGTGTGTGTGTGTGTGTGTGTGTGTGTGTGGCGTCTATGTATGAACCTATGTGGATGTCTGTGTGTCTTTGTGTATATGTCTATGGATGTGTCTGTATGAATGGTCTGTGCGTGTGTCTGTGTCTGTTCCCAAGTTGGCTACTGCGTGCCATTCGAAGTCGCAACGGTAATCATTCGTCAGTTTCTGGCACGCAGTAGCCAACTTGTAGGGTGCATGCCAGAATGTGTGTGTGTGTATGTGTGTGTGTGTGTGTGTGTGTGTGTGTGTGTGTGTATCTTTCTGTATATGCCTGTGTATGTGTGTGTGCATTTGTTATGCGTGTTTGCTTGTGCATGTGTTAGCGTGTCCGACTTCAGGTTGGCTACTGCGTGCCATTTGAAGTCACAACGGTAATCATTCGTTAGTTTCTGGCACGCAGTAGCCAACTTTAAGGGTGGATGTCAGTTTCTGGCACGCAGTGGCCAACTTTACGGGTGCATGCCAGAAAGAAAGAGAAAGAAAGAAAGAAAGAAAGAAAGAAAGAAAGAAAGAAAGAAGCAAAAAAAGAAAGAAAGAAAGAAAGAAAGAAAAATAGACAGACACACAGGCAGTCAGACATACAGACAGACAGACAGACAGACAGAAGGATAGATAGACTTCGCCTATCGGTTCATCCACTTACAAACCAGACAAACAGACACACTCACAGACAGACAGACAGACAGACAGACGGACAAACAAACAGACAGACGGACAGACACACACACACACACACACACATACACACA